ATAGAGATTACAGCTCTTATCTTAAAAGACGGAATTAAATTATTTAGGTAAGTAGTTCCGATGATATCAAAAATAAATGGTTATCTAAATTCATAATAAGATTGAAACATTGATATTGTATATGAATTTCCCTTTAGCAGTAAAAGAAAAAAAAATGAGAATTGTTTTTCAATCAGATTTAATAAATGTTTACATCTTGAATTTTAAAGGTGCAGATTAAATCTTAAAAATAAGTTTAGACTTTTTTAAGGAATATCGAGTGTAAAAAATATAAGTTTTAATAATTAAATGGAATTAGTGAATTCGTTATATCAATTAGTTTATATTTAAGTTGCATAAACTTAATTGAGATTACTTGTACTTGTAAATTGGTTGCCTTAGCATTTAATTAAATAGGTTATTCTTACATATTACCTTTAAGAGGGTGATAAAATAATGTAAAAAATTAAACATTGAATTTTTATAATATAATTTTAATGAAAATGTCACTCCTTCAACTTGAGCGTTCTTATTTGGATGCTTTATCAGAGTTTGGTGAACAAGCTCCTAAAACAATTCAAGCATGTGTGACTCTTATAGAACTGCTCAATTAAACTGGTCGTTATTAAATTCAACAGAAATAATAAGGAGAGAAATATTTTTAAAGAGCTATAGAATTAGCATCTAGATTATAAATGGAAGAAATGCTTAATTTAAAATATTCCACTTTTATGTTATATGCAGAATATCTAGAATTTCAACATCATAATAAATAAGCTTACAATCTATTAATTTAATTAATCCCATTATCTAAAACTAATTAAAGAAGCATTATTATGACACAAATCTAAATCTTGAACCATATTATTGAGAATGGAAGACTTTGTAAAGTTGCAAATATTGTGAATTTAAATGAGAAATTGTTGAATCTAATGGAAGAAATTGGATTGACATTTTATTTATACAAACAGTTCTCAAAGAAGTTTTAATAAATTTTATTATAAGCACTCTCATTGTAAGCTAAAATATATCATAAATAAAATAAGGATAGGGAGGCTGCTTAGTTATATTTTTAATCATTTCATCTTTCAGAAGAATTACTTGGAATTCATGAAAGGAGAACTTAAGAATATAAAAAATTGTATGAATAATTAAGTGATAAGTTATCAGTTAATATAGAAATTTAAAGTTAAGATGAAGATGAAGATGAAAACCCTTAATAAATTTAAGTTACACCAAGAGAAGAAATTCTTAAATCTTATCGCCCTAAATAAACATCTTTTAATAATTATATCATCAATGTAGATTCTGCTCGGGCGCCTAAACCTTCAAAAAAAGTAGATAAATTTAATAAATTACCCATTACTACCTCTATTCATAAACCTAATCTTTCTATTAAAGACACACCTTTATAATCTTTATTTATTATTAAAAACCAATCTAAAACACCTATCAACTCTTAAACTACTACCAAGTTAACTAGTCCTAATAGAGGTACCTCTTTTTTGTCAAAAAAAACAACTGAAAGATTTCATAATAAAATGTATTCTTTGGAATAAAGTGCCTTAAGGGAATTAGAGGATACATAACATCCAAATTTAACTAATGAATTGCTCAATACTAGACCATAATATGAAATCAAATAATTTAAAAGAATTGAATTCTATAAATAAAACACTTCAAAGCAAACTACATCCACTTATTAAATTTAACTTACTATTCCTACTAGACCTTAAATCAGAGAACCGTCTAAAAATAATATTACTACCAAAATAGATATTAAAAAAATATCTAATACTCCAAGCACCTAAAAAATTGAAAGACCTTCATAAAAAAAAATTTTAGCTCCTGAAATTTAACCATCTACTTTAAATATTAAACCGATTGGAAGTGCTAAAAATTTAGCAAATGATAATGATGAAGATATAATTAAGTAGGAAGAGAACAAAAATTTATCATTTGAAAATGATGAACCAATAAAAGTGCATTCTCCTCATGATTCGATTATTGCTAAATACTTAGAAACTCACTCTATGGAAACATTATTAGAAGCTGTCTAAAAGATTAAGGGAAAACTTAAAAAATATGTTCAACACTCTAATAAAAGAAAAAAAGAATTGTTAGAGCGAAAGCATCAACATTCTCCTATTAGAGCTACAATGAATAATAAATAATAGCAAATTAGTAGATCGAATACTTTAATAGATATTGTTGAAAAAAAACTACTTGAAAATGAAGCTAGTAAAATAATTTATAAGTTTTTTTCATCAGCAAATACATTGGAATGGTATCCAGTTCATTTTTATGATAAATTATTTACAGATTTTGAGACATCAAAATGGATTCTTGAGAATCCTAAAATAAGAGGATAATTCTTGAATAAATCTTCTAAAAATGACAATTGCCATTAAATAAACATAGAACAAATATAAAATATTATCTTCAATTTAAAACGTTAATTAGCCCTTTAAGTAATTGGATCAATTGAAATTTCGAATCACACAAGAAGAGTTTAATTTAGATTTATAATAGACACACTTGTTGAAAATTATAAAGATGTATAATCTTATGATGACATGATGGATTTATTTGATTAATTACTGAATATATATTTACAGCAAGAAGATTTGTTCAGTGAATGGTTAGATAATCGAAAAGAGTAAACTCTTTTTAGAGTAGGTCATAGTAGAACTGGTAATTCAGGTTAAAAAAAGCAAAGCCATGATCTAGAGTTTACAAAGGAATAAAGAATAGAATTATAAGAGAATATGTAATATTATTAATATCTTTTATCAAAAGTACTTTTTTTAATCAAAAGAATGAGTTACATAAAAACAATGAATGGTTATAAATTTAAGTCAGTTCCTCAAAATCATTAAGTTTCAATTTAATAATATAACAATTCAATATATTAGAAAAAAATAGAAAGAATTAAATAATATTTTCAATTTCGAGAATGTGAAATTTAAAATTTAGAGAATAAACCAATTTTCAGTAAAAAGAGACATCGTAAAAGAAATAAAGATAAACATCTATTTATAGCTTAAGATAGAAAATAAACAATAATAAGAGAAGCTACATCTTCTGCATAAGATGATGAATCACAACTACCTTCATAAAGAGATAGTCCATATGTATCTTTGAAAGATACTGGTATTATAATAGGAAATGAGTTATAATCTCGATAAATTATTTTGGGAGCAGAAACTCCTCTCATTTAACCGTTATTGAGACAAACAGTAGCAAAATCTAATTGGAAGAATATGGCTCATCAGGAAGCCCCTCCTTAATTAATTGATATATTTAATTTAGAAACTTAAGATTATTTATAAAGATACTTTCCTGAATTCAAACTAAATGTACCTTCAGTTGATTATCATCCTGCACCAGCACCAAGTAACAGAAAATTATTGACTGAATCACATTATCATTTTAGATAAGAAATAGCAAGCAAAAAATATCTCAAATTGGAATATAAACCAATTTATTCAGAAGATTATTTAATTTTAACTTAAATTGTTAAAATCGATTAATAATTTTATTATCTTACTTTATCTAACAAATTACATTTAAAATAAGTTTTTGGAAGAGATCTATGGGAAGATGAACTAGATATCTAATTGAAATAGTTAATTAATTATTCTGTTGGAAGAACTGGATATATTATCGATTTGATAGAACTATAGAATAGATTATAGTAAAAGCTATAAATTGTTAATTGTAAAATTTAACTAAAATAGGATGAGGCTGATAATTCATATTAAAAAAAACTAAATAAGATTTTTAGAGTAAACAAAAGACTATATCATACAATTTAATCATTAGAGTTTATTGAAGAAGGACTAAAAGAATTATCTTAAGAAAGTAATAGTTAATAAGAAGATGGTGTTGAATTAATTGAAGAATAAAAAAGAGAACCCCTTATTGATATTATGTTTTTACTTGGAGTTTTAAATAATAATTCATTTGTTGAATATCAAAATTATTTACCTAGTTGTTATCTATTAAAAAATTTAAATGGAAAGATTATGCTTTAAGATCCTGATTAACCTAGAAAACCAAAATTTCCTTTTAGATTAATCTTATCTCATGAAGATATGAATAAACATATATCCAGAACGAATGAATAAACTATTAATGCCAAAGATATTACGTTGTTTCCCCATTATAACTCTGTATTTCTAATCAAACAGAATTAATTTATTTACAAACCAATTGGAGTTAAATTACGTCTTCTATCAGATCTTAAAAAAATGCATTAAGACATGAGAAATGCCTTTTCAAAAGCACATCTATTAATATATTATAATAATCATTAAAAAATATCACTTTAACTTAACTCTGAATAGACAGAAAAATGGGCTCATTTATTCTAAATTGATGGACAAATGCGTTAACATATTTTAAATTATAAAACTAAATTAAAAAAAACTCTTGTTGGATTTTAATTGTATCAAAATGAAAATAGATTTTCATAATCAAAAGATTTAAGATTTTTATTAATGCAAGATAAATCTACTTAAGCTAAATAATATTTTCTTTAAACAAAAATTAAATCAATTGGTTATGTATTTGTCTCTGCAAAAATTCATTCCTCACTTATGTTAATTAGAATTATGCCAGCTGGTAATAAGAGTAAATCTCATCTTTTTTTATATTAAATTAATCGTGAAGATCCAATTACATTAATTTATACCTTATGCAAATAGTTTATTCTAAAAACAACTTAGACATATTCCAAATTAGAATTAATGCCTATCACATAAAATTTAATACGTAAACAATATCTATTATCTAATAAATATCATGATAACAATGTGTTAATTGGTCAAAAATCTTATTCAAGAGTAGTTTATAAGTAAATTAAAAAAATAGATAAAAGTTATTTTATAGTAACAATTACTTTAATTAAAAACTACTTTTAGATTTACCTTTACAATCAAAGTAATTGCAGAAAATTTTACTTTACACTTCACAGATCTGATTTTTTAATTATGAATTAATATTTTTTAGATTCTATATTTCCAGAATAACCTTATGAAGTGGTCGAATAATTCTTCAGACCTTGGAAGTTAAATGAAATTTAAAAAATATATTCTCTAATAATCAAAGCGCCTGAAACATTTAGAAAGAGAACGCAAATGTATATTCAACAAATTAATAATACGAAAAAGAATTTTAAAAGATCTGCAACATCTAGTTTTTCTAGCCTTAGTGTTATTTAAAGATAATCTACTTTACAACTTAATAATATTACAGACGAATCTAATGAAGATAACTTTAATAAAACATGCTGGTTGTTTGATAAATTGTTATTACGTAAATCCGATAGTGTATTTGAGAAAAAGTTATGGATGGAAATAATTAATTAGATGAATATTAGTTTGAACCTTGTTATATTAGATACTTTTAAGACTGTTCTATCTGAATTAGTTTATTTTAATGATAGAACTTGTAATTTTTTATGTTATATTCCATGTCATGAAATTTTACAATCTTTTAGATGGCAGCCCATAAGATTAAAAATTTATTCATATGAAACTTGTAAAACTGTAGATGTACCAATAAGTATAAGAGGAAAGTAAGTTCATGTTTATAAATAAAGTAATTCTTTATATTTAAATTATTAAATTAATCAAAAAATCCCAAGTAATTAGGAAAATATGAAAGTGAATAAAAATAATGATTCAGAGTTTATTAAATATTAATTACTTTATAAAGGAGCATTTATGAAGCATAAGATGCTTTTAATAGCTATATATTTATATAACGAAGTTTTTCAAGTTCGGATCTTTAGCAAATCTAATTCTTTATCTAGAAAACTAAATGTTAATTAAGTTGAACTGAAAATTCCATATATTAGATAATTATTAATATTAAATCCACAAGAAGCTGGCAGAAGATTAAGTATTATATATAGAAATAACTTCATTCATGCTTCATTTTTAAAGTTATGATTTTTTATTCATGTAAATTTCTGTATATAGCAATTAAAAATTAAAATACTATTCAAGTAGACTTTATTCATAATATTTCAATTTGATTAATTTTATAATCAGAATTTTATTTTAAATAACTCCTTTTTTAATTTTACTAACAATTTCTAAAGTTTTTTTTTTTGAATAAATGTTAGACCTTATCAATCATTACTGAGGATTAAAAAAAATTATTTTATTCAAGATTAAATTAATTAAAATATTTTAATTTTGCTATAGAATTCAAGGTTTATCATTTTTCGTTTGGATGATCTTTATAAAATTAATTAATTTTTTCATGAATACAAGGAATAGCTGCTAAATCTTCGATAGTTGGCCTATTTTTAGGATCTTTTTATAATGTTTTTTCAATTATTTATTAAAAATCTTAATCAACAGATGGATCCATATCATAAGGTTTATTTAATATCATTTCAAAAAGGATTTCAATTTCATTACTCTAAAAAGGTCTTTTTAACATAATTAATTCATATAATATACATCCTAATCCCCAAATATCAGATTTTTTTCCATGGGGTTGTCCTCCAAGGATTTCAGGAGAAATATAGTAAGGAGTTCCAAAAAAAGGTTATTCAAAATCTATATCACTACCTATTTATTTAGAAGTTTCGAAATTTCCCAACTTAATTACTTATTCTATAAAATTAAATAATTAAATTAACCTTTATTTAATAATATATTTTATGTTTTGATATCTCTATGAATAATATTTTTAGAATGCATAAAATTTATAGCAATAACCAATTAAGCCAACCATGCTAATATTTGATCCTTAGGTATTTAAATTCCTTATCTAGAATATTCTGATATTTTGTCATTTAAAGATCCTCCTTCTGCATATTCCATTACTATATTTAATGATTTATTTTCAGTAAAACTTTCATAATATTTAATTATTGTTGGAGCTGTTAAAACTCTGAGTACATTAGCTTCATTTTCAGCATATTTTCTTTCTTGTTCATTCATAAGATATAAAGGAATAATCTAAATTAATTAATATCTTACTTTCATTGCATATAATTCTTAATTTGTAGAATTTCTTACTAATTCAACAGAAGATGTATTTCCTCTACCTATTTTTCTTACAATTGTATATTTTTCCTTATTATTTTAATTATTCTTTATTATAGTCAAAATTTACATCATTAATTTTGGGTTTCTTCTTTACAAATTGATTAAAACTTTTAAAATTTTCAAAGCTGATTGGCTTCATTAAAAAGTCAATAGCTCCAGCTTTCAAACAAGCAGCAACAATATTTTATTCTGCCTCTACATCCATAATTATAACTGGAATTTCTTTTAGATTATCAATGCTAAAATACATTTAAAAAATACTTTTTTATAATTGTTAACAATTCAAGCGCTCCCATTATAGGTATCTATAAATCTAAAAGGATTAAATCGACTTCATTATCATTTTTTAAAAGTTCATCTCTGGCTTCTAAACCATTCCGACAGGCGATCACTTAGAATCCGCAGAATTCTAATATACAACTCATTGCTAATCCTATCAAAATTTGAAATTTATTTACTTTAGAATTCACTACTTTCAGCTATTAATATTTTCAAAATCTCCCTTTTTGGTACATCACTCTAATTTGCTTACATTTTTTAAAAAAATATATGAAAAAAATAAATTGTGAAATACATTTTTAAAGGAAAAAAATAAAATATTAAGGGGACTGAATCTTGATTTCGTTTTGTTTTATTCTTTAAATAAAAAATAATTTTTATAAAAATTTGAAAATGAAGAGTGACATTTATTCAGTCAATAAGCTAATCTTTTATCGAAATGTTCTATTTTTAAATGCAATTATATTATAAATCAGTTTTAGTTATTTCAGTGTTAATTCTTTTTAATTTAGAATTAGATATAGCAGGTTTTGGTTAAAATTTCTAAGTATATATTGCTGATTTTTCTTGAGGTGAGCTAATTCATTATCAGATAATAAATTGAATATTCAAAATAAAAAGAAATTATCTTTTTATTTGATCTATTCTGTTTTATGTATCATCATTTTCTTTTGAAGTATATTCTGACTTGAAAAAGCTTTTTTAAGAGTTCATATATTTATATTATCTTTATCATTTAATCTTTAATCTAGTTCTAACAACTTATGCCATATCATTTTCTATATTAAAAAAAAATTATTTGTTTATGATTTTTCATCAATTTCAATGCTAGCTCTAATGTATTGAAATTTATTTATTTGAGATTCTTTAATAATATATAAGTCTGATGTTTATTTAAAATAGATTATTTTTATAGTGTTAATTCAAACAGAGTAAAATTTTTTTTATTACAGAAATTTTATTATGGGAAATTTTGTAAGAAATTAAGAAGAAACAAAGAGAAATTAGGAGGAAAGTAATAAAAAAATAATAAAATTTCTAGTTGCTTAGAGTTAAGTCTAAGAATCTCCAAATATTTTGATTAAGCAATCTAAAATAGGGAATGTGGAGATTATAAAATTGAGCATGCAAATAATTGAAGTTGAGTTGATTTATGATTCAGTTGACAAAATTTAATTGGATTTAACATATAGTAGTTAAGTAAATTGTTTGTTAACTGTCTACACATTTATAACAGAGATTAAGGGATCTAAATAATAAAGGTTTAGATTTTAATAATGCTTTTAAGATTCGAAAGAACTATGTAAGAGAGTTCAGTTCAAAAGTTTAAATGTCCTTAAGGTTTAAATCATCAAATTCCTTCAAGATATATTGAATTTATGATTACGGATTTGCTAAAATTTAACAGAATTAGAGCCACTTCTGAAATATCGCACCATACCCTAATATTAGAAATGGTAAGTATATATTTCATTTAGGCAGAGAAGTCTTACATCTAAAAGTTTTCAGATAATATACTTTTATAAGATTGATTGTAATGAATAGCAATTTCGATGTGAATTAATAAATACTAAATAACTTATCATGTATAAAAATCGTATGTTTGAAATTCATGAGTTATATGGCGTCAAGAATACTCCCTTTAATCCAGAATGGAATCCAAATACTGTAGAAGATAAAGAATGTGTCATATGTTTTTGTAATATTATTAACACTGTTTTATTGCCTTGTAAACATATGTGTACCTGTTCAATATGTGCTGATCATATATTGATGAATTAAAAAGTTAAGTAATGTCCTCTTTGTAGAATTGAAATTGATAATTATTTAACTTTGGAAATAAAAGATAAAGAAAAGTAAAATTTATAATTACGATAATTTTAAGAAGGTTAATAAAAATACCTAGATGCTGTTAAGGAGAAAAAGAACTAGTAAGCTATCAAATAAAGTTCAATAATGGAATAATTATAATCTAAAGTTCATTAAGATTAAATGAGAAAATTAAAATTATTTGATGATATAGAGGATTTTTAGAGGGAGAATTAAAATAATCAAGATCAAGAAAATAATGAAATTTGCTATTCTAATGAAGAAATTTAAAGTGATCATGGAAATAATTAAATTTAAAATTCATTTTCTGGGAAATTAAAATAATTGAGTGAGGATGAAAACAATTTAAAAGTTATGTAATTTTGTGAGGATGATAAGTAGAGATATTCATCAAAATAAAGAATTAGCAGCTATGATTTAAAATAGGAGAGAGGAATTTTAAGTAGTTTTTAACATTCTTAAGAAAAATAAAACGATTAACAATAAGGATCTGATGAGAGTGAAATTTTATAAGAGGTTCCTTAAGTTTCATCTTCAAAACAACAATAATCTTAATATTCTTTTGATTATATGAATTACGATGAATAATCTCATTATAATTCTTAATAAAAATTAACAAACGCTGAAATGTATTAAGCTTCAAAATAGCAATATTAATTTATTTAAGGAACTGATAAAGTACTTCCTACTATACCTGAATATTTTAAAGAAAGTTCCGATGTTTTTTAATAAATAAGTTATAATTAAAAAGATGAAATTAATAATTAAAATATTTTAGACTTGTAATAAATTAAAAATTAATAGAATTATTTTGATGTTTAGTCTCAAATACAATCATAAGAGTTATAAATTTCTTTGTAATAATAATAATAATAATAATAATAATAATAATCACATCGGTCATTAATGAAATAAAAAAATTAACAGATATAATTTTGTTAATTGCAATAAAATAATCTTTAATAAGATGATGAAATTTTGAATTAATTCGAAAAAAATGATATAATTAATTAAATTATTTTAGGAAATGATTTGAAATAAAGTTCAGAAGCATAAAATAAATAAGTTTTAGAAGAATTTGCAGAAGGTTTATTTGTAGAGAATATATAACCTGATGAATCAGAATTAAAAAATAAGATTAATATATAAGAAAATTAAATAGAATTTATAGATAATGTAGATAACAAGTTATTTTAGGAAAATATTGATCTAGGATAAATTAAGAATGATGCAATTCATTCATAAAAAAGTATACAAAAAATTGTTGATGAAAAGAATGACTCTAATCATTAAGAGTAAAATGGTGGTTAAATTTCATTAATAGTTTTTGATTGATAATGATTTTATTATGATATCAATGACACACTCATATTTCAACTGGATCTTATAGTTAAGGTTCTTCATCATCATCATAAATTTCAAGGAATCCTTCTTATCTTTATGGAATAGCTTTCTTTCCTTATTAAGGGAAGCAGAAGCATTAAGTAGTTGGCAAAACAAATTATTTATCTTACATCAATTACTTTCTTTTCTCTAATTCTTCAACAACGTTATCAATATTAGTTAAAGAAACATTTTCATATTAGTCACCAGCTAAACATATGGGACTAAATAATAAAGAAGATTTGATACTCTTTCATAGGAGTGCAATCTTCTACTGGTTTAGGTGTTGGTTAATAAGTAATATCACAAGCAAAAAGATTTAATCCTTGGATAAATCCTTAGAAAGCATCAGTTAATTGATCCTTTCCATAGTAAAGAATGAGAGAAGGAGCTACATAATGATTAACATTCTTGAAAGATAAAGCTCCTTTTCCTTATGAATGTTCAACAATGACATCTGCTTATCTACTCTTTCTAGAATAAGCAAAATAGATATGGAACCAATCTTTGACAAAAGTCTTACCTTCTACAATTTATCTAACTTCTGGGTTACCAGATCTATAATTAAATATTATATAAATACCCTAATTAATCAGTGTATGTATAAGTATAGAAATTAAGAGTTTAATCTCTGGTATCAAAGTAACAACTAAGAGTATCATAATTGAGTGTATCTTCACCAACTAGAGTAGATGTTAATCTGAATAATAATTAATCTTTTTCTGATGTCTTACCATTCCATTTAAACCATCCTTAAACAGAATATTATTCAGTAGTTCCAAATCTATCACCTGAATTAACTGGATTTCCATTAAATTATGAAGCTTTGGCTGATACTGCTCTAATCAAACCTTTGCTTGAACAATCCTTTTAAGGTTGAGGATTACAACTTAAACAGAAAGGATTGTATTCTTCTAATGTATCAAAGAATGATCCTGATCCTAATCTTAAAACAGGTCTATGGAATTAACCATTAAATGAATAATATCTATTTTATGGATCTTTACCACCAACTTAGAATAATAATTATTCCATTCTTGGATGTGTAACTTTAGCTTCTAAAGTAATTGGTGCTTAATTCTCAATCTAATAGAATGCAATAGCTTTATATCTAGTATAACTGAAATAAGT